TTCCAGGAAGGGAAAAGAGACAAAAGGCAATACAGTCCAGAGGGGGAGCGTGGAAAGCATAAGAGTTTCAGGATAGCCACTCCCTAGAATCTCCCGGGGTATATCCGCTAGTTGCAGTAGTATAGATTTAGTCTGGCAAGATTCTGTCTACATGGTGTAAGCAAATAAAGGAACTGAACTCAACTGGACTGTTTCATCATTCTTAGGCTGAGCCTGACAGCAAGTGACTAAATGTGCATTATGACATCACCACACAAAGCACATGATTTACATACTCAAATCAGACATCAGGATGCAAGTACCTAAGGGCAGGGTTTGTGTTGTGATGTACTATGTTTCATCATTTTTGTATCATCAGGGCTTGTGGCAGCCTCCTATGCCCCTCTCCATTTCACCTGTTACTATCCAACCATCTTCTCCTAGCAGTGAGCTAACCTGTTCTTTTGTTTCCTTTTACTAGTGATGTAGCCCAAACAGTCCTTTTGCTTGCTTGTAGCTTCTCTTTCAAACCTAAGTTTCTTTTGTGCTTTAGCCTAACTTTATTTGTGCAGATACGAGGTACCTGCTGGCAATCCTTAGTGATTACTCCCTTCTTTCACTTGCTGTACATATCCTTTTGAAGCTCAAAGTTCCCTATGCATCCACAATGGTTTCCTAATCTGACCCCTCCCCATCTTTTTTCTCACTGTGATAATGGGTGGATGTACTTTCAGTATCTTATTTTCTATAACTTCCCAACCAACCTGTAGTTACTTTCACCAGAGGATTCCTGTTCTGCCTAATATGTCTCTTAGGCTTGCTGAAATTGGCTGTCCTGAAAACTAGAATGTAGAGCAGTAGATTCTGTTCTTTCTCTTGGATCCTGAACCCCAGGTAGATGTGGTCACTCCTCAAAGTTCCCACTGCTTTTTCTTCTTCAGCCAGCTCTTTCCTGTTGGTTAGAGTCAAATCTAGGAGAGCTGATCCCCAAGCAGATAGCTAAGACAATGGTCTCCTGTAGTCAAAGATGGTCATACTCCCTTTTCAACACTTTGGGTTGGAGAGACTCACCTCTTCTCTGCCATTCATTTTGTAGTGTCTCACTAAGGGGAATGAGGATATATTGCTAGGGAAAGCTTTTGCAGATTCTTTCAAGTCATCCTGTTGTAGAAACTGAGCCAGCTGATCCCAGACTTTCTCCAGGACAATCAGGATGGCTCTTAGAAACTTCTACTGTGGCAGAATACTGTATCAGTTGAGGAAATCTTCGTTTTTCTGAAGCTTCTCTGGACCAGAGACAACCCCCTTACTTCCCAGTGGAAGTCTTGCAAAAATCACACCTCTCTGCCCTCTAGGATTATGTCAGCTGAGGTAGTATGATAGCGTGCATGTTCTTTCTTCCAACATCTCACAGAAAAACGGGGAGAATAAAGGAAGAGGAGAGGTTGCTTCTGTTTTCTGTTGGGCTAGAGCATTACCTTACTCACCACTTGCTTTTCTGTCTGTTGAAACAGAGAGGAAAGGCTACTGGAATAAAAGCAAACAGTGCATTCTGGCAGGCCCAGCAAGTGAAATGGCATCTGCTGCAGGGTTATGACGCACTTCAGATTTGCTCCTCATACAGAAACGTAAAGCACAATGGTAGAGTATGTCTGCAATATTTAAAGCACCTGCATCTTTTACCTGGAATTGCACTTTTCATATCTGCCACGTGGATAACTGCTTTAAAACATTGCACACAGATACTCCATTCACTGCCCTATGTGCTTCAAAGTACTTGTTGGAGATCAAAAACAAAGTATACATTGTTCTGTCACAGAGGGAATTTGCACACCTTTCCCAGCAGGTGTACAACAGTGAGCTTGGGAAGCTGAAGACATTATTGCTGGGTGGGGTATTTGTCCATTTGTGAGAATTCATCTTGTTCATGTCCTTGGAAGAGAGATTTCCTTCCCAGGCAATAAGACAGCCTGGAACACTGATTTTCCAACATCCCCACTGATTCTGTGGATGGCCTTTCTTTCTTCTCCATCCTTCACCCACCCAAGCCCCAGGAAGAAGCAGTGAAGGCAGTGCTTCAATGGTGGAAATTTGCAGCACGAAATGAGAGACATGAAGCCAGTGGCTTTGTGGGCACGGCTTAAGTCTCCGCCATCCAATATATAATGGTAGTGGGAGAGACAAAAGAAGGCCCTTTGCAGACAGCAATATCCATTTGCTCCCCATTTGCTAGTTGTGGCTAAGGGCCCAACTAGATAACTCTGTTAAATGTTATCCATCAGCCCTTAAAGCAAGGAAAGTATGCTGGCATAGAGTTTGTGGTCCTGACTACCAAAATGTATTCTGCCAAACAAGTACAATAATTTTCTGTAACTTGGGTGGGCAGAGGTAGGTGAGGGTAGACGGGTGCTTGGAACAGCATGTTCAGCCACCTATGAAGTTGCCTAACAAATTACAGCCATGGCAGTTGGGCTAGACCCTAACCTGGGTCTAGCGCTATTCTGAAGCAGCCTGAAACCCACATCCAAGACCAGACATGTTAGAGGAGCAGTGCAGGGTGAAGCAGTCGAGGACAAGATCATCCCACCCCTGACTAGTGCTGCAAGCAAGGCCAGTGCTGGCAGTGAGTCCCGTCGTTTTCATAACTGGCAGTATTACAGTGACCCCTATGAACTGGGCAAGTCTCCCATCAACCACCATACACTCATGAGTCATGCTAGACTGTATCCATCACAAAAATGTCAGGAGAACAGGCAAAATACATTTTAATAATGGGCCAGCTGAAGACAAACTTTATGCACTGGGGATGAGACAGTGTCAAAAAAATGACTACCAGGGTTAGTGCCGTGGCTGGAGGGTTGCACGGTTGAGTGAAACTTTGGGAACCGATGAGTTAACTCTGCACTTTAGCAAGAAGCAGAGTCACAACTGAGGAATTCCTCCCTTTCAATACAGCATAATGTTATAGGTACCTTTTGCATGCCTATGCAAATCCTTCCAATGAGGTGCTTTGCAACCCACAAGGGCATATAGGGAGGTACCTTTCTTAGAAACAAAACAGCAGCTGAGTTTTTTTCCTGTTTCATCTGTTACCACCTATCTCCACTTTCATATGGCCAGCTTTCCTGCATTGGGAACGAACTTTTCTTCTTTTGAAAGGTTGGCATGACCCGAATGGAAGCGTAATTAACTCTTTCCTGCCTGGACATTTTTCTTTCTTGCCGTGCTGCGGAAAGTTTGTTGTTGATGTTAGGTGAGCGCATTTCTAAAATAGCCACACACGGTATGTGCCTTTCTGCATAGTAAGCGGCAGCAAAGTTAGATTGCCTGATGTGCATTTCCAAAGGAGGACTTTCCCTTCCTTCTTTTATGATTTATTTATTTATTTATCATATTTGTATAGCCGCCCATCTCACAAGAAAGTGACTCTGGGCAATGTACAACAATCAATTAAAAAGAAAACCAATGAATACATATAAAACAGTCATTATTAAAACTATAAAAATGATAAAAAAGCACACGGAATAAGAGACTGGGGATGCACACTATATGTTAACAACCATAAGGGAGCCATCGCAAAATTCCACCATAAGGGACCCCCAGGCCTGATCACATAGCCAGGTCCTGAGAAGGTGCTGTCTTTTAAGTTTGTTGCATTTATTATTACTCTTTGGAGGACTCCACTGAAGTTGGGTGTCTAATAAATTCAAAATAAATAAATAAATCCTCTTCTGGGTTACTCATTTAAATCATAATATCTTGAAAATAGAGCATACCCCAAACACTCCCTTCCCTTCCCTTCCCTTCCCTTCCCTTCCCTTCCCTTCCCTTCCCTTCGCCCTTTCCTTCCACTCTCTCAAGGAGGCTTATACAGGGATCTCCATTTTTATCTGTACAACAGCAACCGTGTGAGGTAGGCTGGTTTGAGAAAGTATTACTAGCCCCAAACCATCCAGAAACATCTCCGTGGTTCTAGTCCAATACCTAATCAATCAATCAATAGCAACACAGTAAGACTTCTTTACTTTATTTTGAAATAACTACCCATACTGGAAATTCAATGTGGAAAATAGTAGAGTATTTGTAGTGCCATGCTCCTATACACACAGTGGAGCTTGAGAAAATGTCCAACAAATATGTCATTTGGTGTTCTTTCTCTCCTGTAGTTCACAAACTTAACTTGCAGCCTCCTCCACTGATTGTAATCCAGCCTACGTTCTTCTCCTATAATAGCTCATTAACAGATTATGATTTCAGTGTCCAGCTTTACAGCTTTATCAGTTTTTTGAAGGTTGAAAGGAGTAAAGCAGAATTTCCATCTGACAAATGGGTCCACATCCCAAGAGTCTTCAGTGAACTCAATGTGTTGACGTCTCAGCCAACATGCAATCCCAATAAGAAAGCTGTTGACAAAATAAAGCCAGGGGACATTCATCTCGATGTAGGCAGGAATCTCAGCATTAAGTAACACAATGATCATTTGGAGCATAATAAATGGTGCCCAAGTGCCCATAAAGCTGATCAGAAGTCTTGTCAAAAAATGTTTCGAATCATCTCTGGAGCTGCATTCAAGTTCATAAGGAAATAACAGAACAATCTCCCTTTCAAAGAAAATAAACTGCATAGACTGCACCATAGTCACAATTTCTGACCAACAGAAAACAAGAACCAGACATACGATGGACAACATACCAAGTGAGAGCCAGTAAGCTTGGTTGCTGATGTAGAAAGGACATTGATATGCATCATTGTCATGGTTTACGTTTAGCCATAAAGAACTGCCTGGAAGAGTCAGAACATAACCAAGAGCAGAAATCCATGTAAGTAACACAGCAACTGTGTACACTGATTTCCAACACACATTCCGATATTTGGAAGTGTGGGTTATTGTAAGGAAATAATCCAAGCTAGCTATAAAAGCAATTGGGTAATGTAAGATACCATAGAGAAAGGCGGTGATCTGAGGCAAAAGACAGATGTGATACTCAGTAAGCCTAATCTCCCAAAGCATAACATTCTGATAACAGAAGATGAAAGACATCACCGCCAGAAGAATCACGTCAAAGATAGCTAGTGAAATGCAGAAGTAGCTCATAAAACTTTCATGGTGACTGTGCTTTTTGACTTGCAAGAGAAACACACTGAGCAATACTTTCCCCAGCATGATAAGCAGCAGAGCTCCATGAGCTTCAGAAGGCAGGGCAATATGGCCATCTTGAACATTCAGAAACGAACAATTCTCACAGGCGACTGCAGCCATAATTATCGGAGATGATGACAGCCGTTTCCAACATCAGCTCATACCTAATGCAATAAGACAAGATATTGTTAGTTATTCTTAGATTTTTAAAAAGTAAGGTGAACCTTTCCAAGACTGATTGATCAAATTTATGTCACCCGTCTCACAAATGTGACTCTGGACAGCGTGCAAAAAAACCCAACAATTAAAACATTCTTCAAAATGTTTAAAACAATTAGACATAAATAGAAATAAGATCACAAGAGAATGCACCAGAATTTTTTTTTTTTTGGTGCCTTCAAGTCAGTGTTGACTCCTCATGACTCCTTGGCCTACTCCCTGGACTGTTCTTGGCAACACTTTCAGAAGTGGTTTGCCCTTGCCTTCTTCCTCCTGGGGCTGAGACAGAGGAACTGGCCCAAGGTTACCCAGCTGGCTTTGTGTCTAAGGCGGGACTAGTCTCCAGGTTTCTAGCCTCAGCCCCACAGGTTCAAACCGTTCCCAGATAACAGGGCAAGACTGGGCCTGGCATCTCCACAGATCTGCACCAAGCCTGGCATCTAATGGGGAACACATTCAAGCGATTTGGTCCAACAAATGCTCTGAAAATTCCTCTGCACGGCCTTGCAGATGAATATCTGAGTCATCCTTACCCAGAAGGGCGTGGATCATCTAAAACAAGGCCACCAGGTGGCAATCAGCGGACGGAATAAGGGCAGAGAAGTAGGCCTTACCATCAGGAACAACCCCTAGCTCCCTCTGAAACCCTCCTGGGACCATCAGTGGCTGGGGGCAGACCAACCTAATAGGCCCAGCCTCTCTACAGCGGGGAGCAGCACCAGAAAATCTCACGGATACCAAGACATGATCTGGCCATGACAGGGGAGCCACAGAGAGCTCCCCCAATTCCAGATCACATTGCCATTGCTCCAACAGGAAACCAGAGGAGGTGTGTGACCACTGCCTGTGTCGGGCTCTGGATGACCCGGGATAGGCCCATGGCTGTCATAGTGACCATGAACTCCTGAGCCACCTCAGACCTTGCTCCCAGGGAAGGCAGACTGAAGTCCTCCAGGACCTTAAGCCTGTGGAACGCCACTGCCAACCCTGAGTCGAGGAGCTCAGGCAGGGAGGGTGCTACACAGCAGGGAGGCTGGTACAACAGCAACGGTCCCAGCTGATCCCTAAACCCCAACTTAAAGAACAGGGTCTCACATCCAGCAACTTGTTGAGCAGCGCCCCTGAAAGCCATAAGAGATTCCTGAATAACAACTGCCACACCCCACCCCTGGAATCTCTGCTGATGCCACACCTGAAACCCAGCTGGGCACATTTTAGATACACACCAGCTCAGCCCTCCCATCCATGATTAAATCACGGATGAGAGAGGCTTTATTACGGCTCATCTGGCATTTAGTAGCAACAGCCGAAAGCCAGGGCTTCTGAAGGCTTGCTGACCAAGAACCGGGGTTGAAATCTGGGGCTGGAACATGAAACTAGAATAAGGCACCAGTTATATATATAGGCAAAACCCTTCATTCCCATATTCCTATATTTTGGGGAATCTGCTCAGGTCAAAGAAAGCGTTTATCTTGTGTTGTTGTTTTTATTACTTATTCTCGTTCCTGGAAAAAATCTATCTCTGTGGTCCCTGAGAGCTGACACTAACTTGATGGCACATAATCAATCGATCAAGCAATCAAGCAATCAATTATTCTTGTAAGCTTGTTTTTTTTAATGTATTTTTTGCCAAACAGATAGTCAAAACTCGGTAAAATAAAAATCCATTTAATAAATCAGTAGCAATACATACAACAAATGCGCAATAAGGAGTGGCTGAAAATCTATTAAATAAAATGGCTTCAAAGGCTTCCTAAAAGCAGACAAAGAGGGATTTTGACACCTAGGCATGGAGTTCCATAACTGTGCTGCTATCATATAACGTAATTTATTCTTGGCTTCCCTAAGCCATCTATATCCTTTCAGAAAGATGCTTCAGGTTGCACAGACCTACAGCCCCAAATACCAGGTGGAGAATCAAGGCCTCCCTCTATTAACCTGCCATACCTCTTTCTTCTTCCCTTACTTTTAGGGCACCGCCAGCATATAGCTGTGTAGTTGTTAAGATTCTTATTCTGACATGGGGAGTAGACCTTCTCTGGCCTTCTGCCCTCTGCTTCCTTGGTGCCAAGCCTTGAGCCATCTGTCTAGCTGGGTCCTCAATATGCATCGCTTTGAGCGAATGATATTTTTAAAACCTAATCTAAACATAACTGGGCTGACATTCTGAAGTTATTTTTGTTATTCTATTTTTGCTATCTTTCACTGTTTACCCTGCAGAATTTGTTTTTAACCGAGAAATTTAGGCAATGGGTGGGTTGTCATACTTCATGAGGAGGGATACAACTCACATAATTCATTCAACAGCACTTTGTCCATCAAACTTAAAAAAAAAAAATTACAGAGATCTTTGTGAGTTCAATCATTGACCACAGCATTTTTAAAAAGGCAGGTGCATTAGAAAAGCTAGTTTGTCAAACTGAGACGTGAATGGTCTTAGCTGTGGCACAAAGTCCACGTGCAACAGATGTTTGACACTTCACAATGAAAGGGGTTTTGTTTTGTTTTCTGGAGAAATGAAAGGCTTGCTTCCTTGTTAAAGAGATATGGAATACAGAAGGAAGCAAGGCTTTCAGTTCAGTTTTGTAATTGTTAAATTGTGTTCTTATTATACCGGTTAAGCTGTTATCTTTATCTTTCACCATTACATGAATTAATTTGCTCTTTATTTTACTTTTTCCTGTCAGTTACCTTATTTACTGAACGTATGGAATACAAAACCAACAAATAAATGAATGCCTACAAAGGCAATCTTGACAGCATAGCTCAGAGGCAAGATTCAAACTTTTAAAAAAGAGGATGTAATTAAAATTTGGATTGTGTATTGGGTTTAGATCAGTGTTGTTCAAACTTGGCGAGTTTAAGATGGGTGGACTTCAACTCCCAGAATTCCCCAGCCAGCCATGCTGGCTGGGGGATTCTGGGAGTTGAAGTCCACCCATCTTAAACTCGCCAAGTTTGAACAACACTGATTTAGATGAACCCTGAGAGGAACAGATTTGGGCCAAGTGTGAATTAAAGCAAGATTCCACCAAATCATATCCATTCTTAAAACAATGAAATCCAAACAAGCTCATTTCACAGAAGAACAATACTGAAAGAATTTCCCATTCATACAAGAACAGGGAAAAACACCCATTGTACAAAAGAAACTACCACAAATCATATTTCTCCTAAATGCAGTTCTGAACTGCAGATGCTTTTCTTTTCTTTTCGAACGCTTCTGTGGCTCAGAAACATTCTTGGAGAACAACATGTCATTGGAAGCTGGTGCGTCACTTTGCTTGATGCTTCTCTCCAAATTAAAAATTTAAATAAAAATGAAATACTATAGGTGAGAGAGAGCCTGGAAGTACAAGACAAGAGAAGGTATCCTATAGATGCTTGGTGGATGAAATTCTATTTTAGTTAAAAGACCTACCATAAAAAGAATATAAAAATTATACACTTGCCATAGCATAAACTCAGGAAAAAAAAGGATGGGGCAGGCCCAGAACAAAATAATAACTGAATTTGTGCCTACTAACTAAACTTAATTACCTGTAAAATACAGTTCTCCATTATAAAAATTATAACATTATAAAAAATATTTATTATAAAAATCATTTAAAATATTATAAAAAATATAAGAATAAGTGATCTCTGATCTGTATCTGCCAAGCATTCCTGCTCTCACACACCCAACGCGCTCTCACATATAAGCACATCCATTCTCCTCCCTCTTTCCAGCAGAAACAGCAAAAGAAGACATGGAGGAAGGATGCAGATGGAGGGATTTGGAGATGGAAGAGAAGGGAGAACAAAACTGGGTGGAGAAGACCTGAGGGGAGGAGGCAACTAGACAGGAAAAGAAGGAAAAGAGAGTATAGCCCCACCCAAACCTGTGCAATCTTCAAAGGTATCCATAATTTTCAGTAACGAAGCTGGTACTGTACTGCCAACCACTCCATTTGTTTGTTTTCAACAGATCTTCTGTTCTTCTCAGTGGTAAGATGAATTCCATTCCTAATCAAGCATAGGCATTGAGGGGAAATGCAATGAAGACTCAAACCTAAAGCTCCTTGCTTTCTTCCAGTTCTCCCATTACTGACCAAGGCGCTTACTTTCACTGATGCCTTCTTCAAAAAGCCCTGACTTCTTCCAAGGCCACTCTTACCCATCTCCTGGCTCCAGCTTCTATTCCAAGAAAATCTCCTAGCAGCTGTGTCAACCACCATGTTGCTTGAGTAACATCTCACTTTCAGCATCACCACTGTTCTAACCAAGCCTGCAGCTCACACGCTATAATGGGAAGAAGGAATAACCTTGAGGAACAGGAGGAAGAGCCGCTACCAAGACAATGGACTGATAAAAGAGAACTGAGTCCAGGGCAGAGCTGTAATTGGAGTAAGTGTCTCAGACAAGGCCCTCCCTTGTTCTCATTAAGATAAGGGGAGGGAAGGGGGATTCAGACTTGCAAGATTCTGTTACTGCAACCTTATAATAAAAGTAGTATTAGCATTCATGATTTTAGTTTCCTAATCTGGTTTACCTTGAAGGGCTGACACATGCTCAGCACAGAGACCATGTCTGCAATTTCATTGCTGCAACATGGACCCAAGGCAGTTCAGCGACAAACCCCCACAGTGCTCGACGGACCTGGTAAATCTCCCCAACTGTGAGTAAACATTGGTTGAACTTCATCCATAAGTACTTCAGCAACTCCCAAACAGTACATGCCATAACTTCCACCATCCACAGCTATCCATTTATATCCAAGGCTTCTAACCACAGTTCTAAATCCCTCCAATCAACCCAATCAACTTTTTTTTGACCATCTAACAGACACAAATATCCTCCAAACCATTCATGACTGACTAACTAAAATCAGTAACTAATGCAGACGTTATCTTGGGAAAAAAGTTCACTGAATGGAACTTTTCCTTAGGTAAAGAAAAAGCATAGT